CCTCCTCCTCCTCCTCCTCCTCCTCTTCTTCTTCTTCTTCTTCTTCTTCTTCTTCTTCTTCTTCTTCTTCTTCTTCTTCTCTGAGTTATGAAATAATCCGCCTTTGTGCCTCTTAGGTTAATTTCACACCCATTGGATAATACACTTTCAATGCACTTTAGCCAGTAGATTCTCCTGTTTCGCACGGGGAAATCGAGCTGCAAAGGATTGCATGTCAAAAGATTCCAAGCAAAGGGGAGATTTGTCTAGCTGGAAAATGGGACTTAAAAAAAATCTTTCCAGGAGAACACGATTTCAGTTTTCTTCCCTTGTTCAGTTTTGTTATTCCCCCCCCCCCACATAACCTTACATTCTTTTGCTTTGGACTGTCATTCATGCCCTTGAAGTGAACTTTGTGTTCTGTTCCTTCAGGGCTGCTCATTCTGGCTATCAAACCACAGGGGTTTTACATTATTTCAAGAGTTTTCCACTTCCTTCTCCTTTCTAAAAGGACATGAATTAACACAGATTCCTTCTCTTTCTCATCACTATATTATATGAGCCATCTTTTATGTCGCTTTGCCAGTTTGGTGTAGTGGTTAAGTGCACGGACTCTAATCTTGGAGAACCGGGTTTGATTCCCCACTCCTCCACTTGCACCTGGCTGGATGACCTTGGGCAAGCCGTAGTTCTGATAAGAGCTGTTCTTGAAAAAGAGCAGTTTCTGTCAAGAACTCTCTCAGCCCCACCTACCTCACAGGGTGTCCGTTGTGGGGAGGGGGAAGGGAAAGGAGTTTGTGAGCCGCTCTGAGACACCTTTGGGTAGTGAAGGGCGGGGTATAAATCCAATCTCTTCTCTTCTCTTCTTCTTCTTCTTTGTGTTTGCTATTAGAAAAGAGCAAGAGTTCCAGTAGAACCTTAAAAACTAACAGGGAAGGAGCTTTCGTGAGTCACATATCTTTTAAATCTGTTTCTAGAAACATTCGTAAGACTTCCTCTTCCTTCCAAATTTACTTTCTCACACTTTTCCCACGCCAGTGTTTATTGCAAAATAAGTTTCACACACACTGAATACCGCTCTTTCAGTCCACTTTCGATGCACTTTGCAACTGGATTTTACTGTGTGAAATGGCAAAATCCAAGTGCAAACAGTCCCTGAAGTGGATTGACATTTTTTTTAAAGCATCTGTGAAAGCGCTATATGTTTGGTAATAGTACTTAAAGCGAATGCCAGTTTATTTGCTCATTTTCCTTGTGGACAGGTTGGCTGTTTTATTCAGTTTTTATACCTTTATTACATCTCTGTGACTTTGAGGTGAAGTTATGCTTTTAAACACATGCACAAACAATTGTATTTACTTTCATAGAGTTAATGTATGTATTTGCTAAATTATTAGTTGTTCCTTTTCTCAGTTCAGGAATTTCTCCCCTCGCAGGATTTTTCTTCCCCACTCCACAACGTTTCTGTTTCTTGCAAAAATTTCTTGCAAAAATTTCTTGCAAAAATTTTCCTTCCCGCTTCACAGAATTTGCCGCTGCCAGTCAGCCATTTTTCCTCTCACACCATTTTTCTTCCCCACCTTGCTGAATTTCTGTTCCTTCGTTTTCCCCCTCACTGAAGTCTTCTTCCCCCCATCTCACAGACGTCCAGTGTCTTCACTGCAGGCATTGTGGCTAACCATTTCTCTCCTCACACAGAATTTGTTTCTCCCGCTTCACAAAATGGGTCTCGTCATTTTTCTCCTCACAGCATTTTTCTCCGCAAATCTCAGAGAATTCCCATGTCTTCAGTGCAAGAATAGTTGTCAACCATTTATTCCCCTCGCAGAATTTTTCTTCACCCATCTCACAGACCTCCCACGTCTTAAAAGCAGGCCTTGGTGTGATCCATTTCTCCCCTCACAGATTTTTTTTCTTCCCCACCTCACAGAATTTCTGTTTCCTCAGTGCAAGTACTGCAGCCAGGCGTTTCTCTTGTCACAGAATTTCTTTTTCTGTGCTCATATTCCTCTGCACCCTTCCTTCAAGGTGCTCAGAGCAACATACATCACTGTTCCTTCTTCGTTTTATGCTCACAGCAACCCTGTGAGGTAGGTTAGTGTAGCAGACAGCAGGCGTGACTCCCGGTGAGTGTGGCGGCTGACCTGGAACACCTCATCATCATCCGATACATCGGAGGTCAGGAACGTGGAGGACTGATGTGCACCTTGGTCCGGCCGATCCTGCTGGGGACTGATGTGCACCTTGGTCCGGCCGATCCTGCCAGTCGAGTCCGACTCTAGGGTTGCGGTGCTCATCTCCGTTTCAAAGCTGAAGAGCCAGCGCTGTCCGAAGACGTTTCTGTGGTCATGTGGCCGGCATGACTAAACGCCGAGGCGCACGGAACACTGTTACCTTCCCACTGAAGTGGTACCTATTTATCTACTTGCAATTTCTTGCTTTCGAACGGCTAGGTTGGCAGCTCTTCCTATTTAGAGATATCTATATTATATATCTAAATTAAATAAGCTGTACCAAAATGCTGCACACAAAATCTGACATGCCTTCAATCGGATTTCAAACACTGCCATTGAAAAGTGGAGAACCAAGACTAGGAACAGGAAAACCATTTGGAAGATATTCAAGTGAAAGAGAAAAAGCCCCCCCCCCCGCCCCGCAGTGGCCTTACCCTTTCCCACGCGCCTTTCAATAGTGTTGGAACAGACATTTCATTTTAGGGAGGCGTGAAATGTCTTCTGCATCCTCCTCCATCCCTATGCAAAACTACCAAAGCCCAGAAGTATTTGGCTACAGTCAGCACTGAACCAATCAATACGAATCGATGGTGTGGCCTCATTTGAAATATTGTGAACAGTTCTGGTTACCACATTTCAAAAAAGACACTGAAGAGCTGGAAAAAGTAAACAGGAGGGTGATCGAGATGATGAGGGGGTTGGAGCACCTTCCCGACCAGGAAAGGCTGAAGAGCCTGGGATTCTTCCGTTTAGAAAAGGGATGACTTGTGTGTGGGGGGGGGTCGGTTGACCCTCCCTGGCCTGAGGGAGGCCAGGCTAGCTACTACCAGGGCCTTTTCAGTGGCAGCCCCTACCTGGTGGAACAAGCTCCCGGAGGAGATCAGGGCCCTACGGGAAGTTCACAGTTCTGCAGGGCCTGCAAGACGGAGCTCTTCCGCCAGGCATTTAATTAGGGGCCGTCGCTGTCGTAGAGCCCTGGCCCGTGGCTTTAACATCGAGCCGATGCCGTAAGAAATTCTGAGCAGAAGAACATCTGAGAAGATCTGGGAAGGGGTCATCCATCTTGAAAACAAGCCATCTAAGTTAATCTTTTAACTGTGGCCAGCACCTCGTGTTTGTATTTTCTCTGTCGTATTTTTAAATAATGGTATGATTTTAACTGTGTTTATGTTTGTATGGAAGTCGCCCTGAGCCTGCTTTGCAGGGAGGGCGGGGTATAAATCTGATAGATAGATAAATAAATAAATAAATAAATTCATGGACAAAAAGCATTTCTTCTCCCTGTCCCCGAATACTAGAACTTAAGGGCATCCAATTAAACGGATGGGCAGTAGGTTCAGGAGAGACAAAAGGAAATAATTCCTGACACACAAAGTGATTAAAATGTGGAATTCGCTGCCAGAGGATGTCGTGAGGGCCACATAGGAATAAACAGCTTTAAAAGTGAATTAAATCGATTTGAGGAGGATAAGTCTATCAATGGCTACTAGCCATGGTGACTGAGGAACCTCCGCATCCAGAGGCACTAATCCTCTGAATCGGAGAGCCAGGAGGCAACCTCAGGGGAAGGCCTCGGCCTCCATGCCCTGTTGTTGGCCCTCCAGAGGAACTGGTTGGCCCCTGTGTGAGAAAAGGATGCTGGACTAGATGGACCCCTGGTCTGATCTAGCAGGGCTCTTCTCACGTTCTTAATCACCTCTTGATCGCTGATTCTGTAACTGCTTGTCAGTTTGCTCTTCATGAGGGAGGGAGGAATGTGATTCCTTGTACTCAGTATCCTTGAAAAAGGCCCCCCCCTGTATAAGAGCCAGATCTGGCCGAGGTTGAATCATTCTGAAGGATTTTTGCCTCCCGAGGAGACTGGCTGGTTCTTCTCCATTCCCTCTTTTTATTTTCATTTTCAATGTTAACCAGAAATAGCCTGCGTATCCCGGCTCTGGGCAACCCCAGCTGCTTACGGACCTTATGCCGGGCTGAAGACCCTCGACCGCTTGGCTACCGCGGGGTCCACACCCTCTCTAGGGAGGTCTACCCTTCTTCTCTCGGAGGGAAAGTCGCCAGGCCCTTCAACGAATTGCCAGGCACCTGGAGAGCCAGCTGGTTCAACCTGTACCACTTTTGGCAGGAAGATGGTTTCCGGAATGTCCACAACATCATGGTCCGGAAGTTCCAGAAGTTTGGACCCATTTACAGGTAAGGGGGGGGGCTTTGCTATTCTCTCCCATCCCTTAAGCAGCCTCAAATGCTCGGTTTGCTATCAGAACTAACGTTCAGTGAAACGAATCTCCGTCAATTCATTGTATATCAGCCATAGATTAATCGCATGCGTCTGCATAAATAACTCTCAAAGGAAAACCCAGGTGGGTAGCCGTGTTGGTTTGAAGCAGTGGAACATTTGAGTCCTGTTTTACTCAAAGCGTAAGCCTTCGTGTGCAAAGCACACTTCTTCAGACCTTGCACATGGCAGCTCACACTTTGAATAAAACTTTGTTGGTCTTAAAGGTGCCACGGGACTCTAACTTTGTTCTCAAAGGGGGGGGGGAATCCTGACTCGATCAGACTAAGATCAATCTAGTCTAGCATGCTGTTTCCGACAGAGGGTAGCTAAATGCCTCTGTGAGTTACGGTTCTTCATTTCTCCATTCTCTGAAATTTCTCTGAAATTTTCTCTGTCTCTGAAATTTTCTCTGTCTCTGAAATTTTCTCTGTCTCTGAAATTTTAGTTGTCTTTAATGAAATGCAGGGAGGGAAGGTGGCATGGTATAGCCCAATCTCATCACATCTCAGAAGCTGAGCAGAGCCAGTACTTGGAAGGGAGACCATCAAGGACGACTCTGCAAAGGAAGGCAATGGCCAACCACCTCTGCTTCTCACTCGCCTTAAAAGCCCCTTGCTGGGATCGCCATAAGTTGGAAGCTAAGCAGGGTCGGTACTTGGAAGGGAGACCAAGGAAGGCTCTGCAGAGGAAGGCAATGGCCAACCACCTCTGCTTCTCACTCATCTCGAAAGCCCCTTGCTGGGGGTCACCATAAGTTGGAAGCTAAGCAGGGTCGGTCCTTGGAAGGGAGACCACCAAGGAAGACTCTGCAGAGGAAGGCAATGGCCAGCCACCTCCGCTTCTCTCTTGCCTAGAAAGCTCCTTTGCTGGGGTCGCCATAAGTTGGAAGCTAAGCAGGGGCGGTCCTTGGAAGAGAGACCACCAAGGAAGACTCTGCAGAGGAAGGGAATGGCCAGCCACCTCCGCTTCTCTCTTGCCTAGAAAGCTCCTTTGCTGGGGTCGCCATAAGTTGGAAGCTAAGCAGGGGCGGTCCTTGGAAGAGAGACCACCAAGGAAGACTCTGCAGAGGAAGGGAATGGCCAGCCACCTCCGCTTCTCTCTTGCCTAGAAAGCTCCTTTGCTGGGGTCGCCATAAGTTGGAAGCTAAGCAGGGGCGGTCCTTGGAAGAGAGACCACCAAGGAAGACTCTGCAGAGGAAGGCAATGGCCACCCACCTCTGCTTCTCCCTTGCCTTGAAAGCTCTTTGCTGGGGCTGCCATAAATGGGCTGCAACTTGGCAATGCTTGACACACACAGTGGAATGCAAATGGTCACATTTATTACCATTTTTACTGACTTGTTTAAATAGTAAAAAAAACAACCACCAAAACTTGTCTCTCTTCCAAACCCCAGCCTCTCTTAACGTCCGATACTTTCCCCTTTGCTGCTTCTCTGGAGCATCAGACCAGACACATGTTTACAACCTCTGGAAGACTAGCAGGGGAAAAGAAACGGTGGGAGGAGGGATTTAGGGGAAATGTAGCCGACACTATGGAGCTGCGGTGGCTCAAGTGGTTAAGACGCTGAACTGCAGGCTGTGGAAGGTCGGTAGTTCAGCAGTTCGAGACCCGAGTGTGCCGCGTGACGGAGTGAGCTCCCGTCTCTCGTTCCAGCTCCTGCCAACCTAGCAGTTCGAAAGCAAGAAATTGCAAGTAGATAAATAGGTACCACTTCGGTGGGAAGGGAACAGCGTTCCGTGCGCCTCGGTGTTTAGTCATGCCGGCCACATGACCACGGAAACGTCTTCGGACAGCGCTGGCTCTTCGGCTTTGAAACGGAGATGAGCACCGCAACCCTAGAGTCGGATTCGACTGGCTTTTCAGCAAGGGAACCTTTACCTTTACTTTACCTTTAGCCGACACTCTGGGCTTTGACTGGAAGAAGCTTTCCAGGGGTCTCCAGCAGAGAGAGATCTTTCTCTGAGCCGGAGATATCAGGGACTCAGAATTCTGCATGCCTGGAATGAGCTGTAGCAGTTACGATCTCGCTCCCGTAACATAACAACTCTCCCCATTTGGAATGAAGAACTTCAGCTTTGTAGGGCATGACCTTCACATAGCCTTGAGCAATGCAGTAATTGCCTGCTGTTTTTTAAATGCTTGGAAATAGCTTTTAATCATAGTGTGTGTGTGTGTGTGTGTGTGTGGATAGGGCAGAACAGAATATCTAGTGTCTTTTTTTGTTCTGGGAAGCCTAATTTTTAAACTCTTGCTCTGGCTAGAGAAGCCCAAACTGGTTGTTGGTACCACCAGCGCTGAAGCGGCATCACGTGCAAACCCTTCTTCCCTCCAACGATATGTCCTTTTTGTTGTGATATGCCTTTCCAAGGCGGTAGAGGCTTGCTTTTGATTTCTTCTATAAAAGCTGGGGATTCAGAGCGCCTTTCAGTCAGATCATTATAACCAGGGCTATTTTTGAGCAGGAACGCACAGGAACGGAGTTCCGGCTGGCTTCAGAGTTGGCCACGCCCACTACAGCCAAAACCTCTGCGTGCCTGGCTACAGAGGGAAGGCCTGGAGAGCGAGGCCCCCCCAGCAACTCCAAGGGGGGCGGGCTGGGGGGGGCTGGACGGATTGGGGAGGCATTTAAATGCCTCCCCGTGCCTTCCCTGGCCTGTCCAAGGGCCAGCTAGCCTGGGCGCCCTGCAGCTGTGGGGCACTCAGGCAAGCCATGGGAAGACAGTTTAAGCTGCCTTCCCTTCCCTTCCCTTCAAGGAAAGGCATGGGGGTGTGGCCTAATATGCTAACAAGCTGGGCTGTCGGGGTGTGGCCCAATATGCTAATGAGTTTCTGCTGTTGGGTGTGGCCTATAATGCAAATGAGTTCCTGCTGGGCTTTTTCTACAAAAAGAAAGCCCTGATTATAACATTATAACTCCAAGTATTGGGCTGCAATAGAAGAGCGAGATTTGAGTCCAGTAGAAACCCAACAACACTTCCAGGGTAAAAGTTTTCCAACGCTCCCTTTGTCAAATTAGTTGTTTCTGATGAAGGGATAGAGCAAGAAGAGAAAGAAGTACTTTTCTCCCTTTTCCTCAGTACAAGAACTCCTGTGCACTCTATGTGATTAATGAGACTTAGAACGGATAAGAGGAAGTCCTTCTTCACCCAGAGAGTAATGAACATGTGGAAATCACCGCCGCCATAAGTGGGGGTGGTCACAAACATGGATTCAAGAGGGACATGAAGCAGAGGTCCATAAGGGGCTATTAGCCACAAGGTATAGAGGGAACACTCTGTTTGGGGCAGCGACTTTCTGTATTCTTGGTGCTTGCAGGGAAACTGTGGGAGGGCTTCTGGCCCCGCTGGTGGACCTCCTGATGGCACCTGGGTTTTGGCCACTGTGTGACACAGAGTGTTGGACTGGAGGGGCCACTGGCCAGACTTAGCATGGCTTCTCTTATGTTATTTTGTCGGGGGCAGTGATGCTCTGTCTTCTTGGTGCTTGGGAAGCCACAGTGGGAGGGCTTCTGGAGTTCTGGCCCTGCTGCTGGACCTCCTGATGGCACCGGGTTTTGGCCCTGTGTGACACAGAGTGTTGGACTGGAGGGGCCATTGGCCTGATCCAACATGGCTTGTCTTATGTTCTTTAGAGCACAGGTCCATCAGTGGCTATTAGCCAAAAAATATAGATGGAACACTCTGTCTGGTGCAGTGATGCTCTGTCTTCTTGGTGCTTGGGGGAGCAGAGTGGGAGGGCTCCTAGTGTCCTGGCCCCACTGGTGGACCTCCTGATGGCACCTGGTATCTTTGGCCACTGTGTGACCCAGAGTGTTGTACTGGATGGGCCACTGGCCTGATCCAACATTGGCTTCTCTTATGTCCTAAGGGAGCTCTGACTCTCAAAAGTTCAGTAATATTATAGTGTTGGACTAGGAGAAGGACAGTTGGAGCCTTGCTGTTTAACCCTTGCCCCTTTGGTCTGTTTTCAACTAAAAGTTGCTGTGCTTTATATATCAGCTGGGGAAAGATATGGAAAACCAGCTGGGTGGGGTGGTGGTTCTGAGCTTTAAAAGGAACAGAAGGGAAAGGGTGGAGTACGATCTCTCCACCTGTTCTTGATCTGTTCGGAGCATAGGATGTTTGGCTTAAAAATAAACCCATTGGGGAAAAAAGAATCAGGGTTCTCTGTCAAATACGACGACCCTCAGACGCAATAACTAGACTGGAGTCCGAGAGCTGGATTCGAGTCCAGTATCATAGAGCAATGAGATTTTCAGGGTAAGAACCTTCTCTTCTGCAATGGCTGCAGGACAAGCCGGGGCTGGGAGATAGGGTTGCCCGGTCTGGGTTGGAAAATTCCCGGAGACTTTGGGGGTGGGGCCAGGAGAGGGCGGGGCTTGGGGAGGGGAGGGGCCTCAGCAGGGTGCAACGCCAGAGAGCCCGCCCTTCAAAGCCGCCGTTTTCTCCAGGGGAGCTGATCTCCGTCAGCTGGAGATCAGCTGTAAAAGCGGGGGATTCTCCAGGCCCCCCTTGGAGGCGGGCAGCCCTACTGGGAGAGAAATTCATCCCTGTCCCGCATGTATTTCTTCCTCTTCTTTCCAGGGAGAAACTGGGCAGCTACGAGAGCGTCAACATCATCGACCCCGAAGATGCCGCCACTCTCTTTAAAAATGA